ACTTGGTATTTCTTGTAAAAAACCGGCATCAAGCCTCCACTCTCAAATTTGGAGGAACACCTGAAATATTACACTCATGTAGGAGGGCTAAGCGAACCTTGGTAAATGTCTTCCTTCAAAAAAGGAACCACAGTAATTGGTCTTCACTGTTTTGGACAACCTGACTTATCTTTCTTTTATTCTTATTTGCTGTTTATTCTATATGTGAGAAGGTATGAATTGCCAAGTAACATCTCTGASACGACCGGGCCGTCTTCTGCCAACATTGACGATACTCTGCCGATGTTGAAATTTGAACGCGTCACAGTAGATACWGTCCAAGATYTTATTACTGGAATGCCATCAAACAAATCCCCAGGATATGATAAGATCGGCATAGGAGTCATCAAGACCTGCCTTCCACATATTCTTCAAGTCCTCACCGACCTGTTTAATAAGTCCTTAATGTGAAGCCTGTTCCCAAGGGACTGGAAAACCGCTGAAGTAGTAGCCCACCCGAAAGAAGGCGACCATGAGGAGCCTACCAACAACAGGCCAATCTCACTTCTATCAATACTATCAAAGATCTTAGAACGCGTCGCCCACAATCAGTTTGTGGAGTTCCTTGTCCATCAGAGTGGAAATAAACAGTTACATTCTACAGAGACTCTGGGGCTGCTCTTTACAAGTCACCTGTTGAAAGCGATTGATGAGCAGAAAGTGACTGGTGTGCTCCTACTCGACCTAAGTAAAGCGTTCGATAGTATCAATCATAAGACTCTACTTTTGAAATTAGAAGCCTCTTGATGTAAGCCCAGGTGCACTCTCTTGGTTTGAAAGTTACTTAAACGACAGGCAGCAGTCTGTACGAATTAATAACTTGAGGTCAAACTTTCTTACCATCCACCATTGGGTTCCCCAGGGCTCCATACTCGGGCCGCTGCTGTTTAACCTATACATCAACGATTTAACGTCGGTGTATAAAAACTGCAACATCGAGTCTTATGTGGGTGACTCCAAATTGTACCTGTCATTTCCTAGGGACGACGTGAACATGGGTATGCAAGAGATGCAATGAAGATCTGCTCCGGTTTGCTTCCTGGTGGTCTTCTAATGGACTGCTCATTAATCCAAAGAAAACCAAGTTCTGTGTCTTTCGTTCTCAGCAGATGCTTACTCGTACAACGATTCCAACATTGAAGTTCTTAGGTGAGGAGCTCAAAGCTGAAGACCATGTTAAAGACCTCGGGATAACACTGGACAAGGGACTAACCTTTAATGAGCATATTAACACTCTTGTGTCTGACCCAATGGCTAAATTAAGTAGGATAAGTCGTCTTTTTGACAAAAACAGCTTATTTACAATAGTTAACTCCCTGGTGTTCTCTAAAATGTTCTACTGTTTGGGCTGGCACCAGCAAGTCAAACATATCCAAACTGCAACTGGTGCAAAATTTCGCGGCAAGGATACTCTCTGGTAAACGGAAATATGACCATATTGGCCCCACACTCAAAGAACTTAAACTGCTTCCAGTGTCGCAGTTATTAATACTCAGAGACTCTTTGATGATGTACAAAATAATGCATAACCAGGCCCCTGATTATCTCACTAAATTATTTAATGTTAGATCCAGTATCCACAATTACAACACCCGAAATAAATGTAACCTTAACATTCCCAAGTGTAGGACTAAGATTGTACAGAATAACTCTATTGTGTATCGAGGCACCAAAGCGTGGAATAATATATCCACCGATATAAAATCACTTTCAACTCTATATAGTTTTAAGAAAAGCCTCAAGGCTGAATT